CAAACCGGGTCCCTGCAGTCCGCCGCAGCGTGGCCAGGGGAGAGACAACGGAAGCATTTACCCCTCAAGCGCTGCTGCAGATCCTCGTTGTGGTGGTGGTGGCGCGCCGATTTGACTTGGGTGGTTGAGGGCGTTGAATGCGCCGTGCTTTTGAACTCGGGGAGACGCCACCAGCGTCTCGAGCGCACCATTGACCATCCGTCTTCGTCTTCTGACGCGAGGCTCGCGCGTGAATGCGCCCCACCGGCCTGTTGCCACGCCCCGGTGACAGCCCTGAGCCGCCCCCCTCAGGAGGTGAAATATCCTTGAAGGCAGGGCGTTGCAGACTGGAGTGGAGGCGTTGAGTGCCCGGCGGATTGAGTGACATGCCCTACCGCAGTGGATCTGTGGCAAGATTTAGTAGGCGTAGCGCTGGCGGAGTAGTAACACCTCACCGGCCGGTTGCAGAGGGGGGAGGCGAACTTGACGCGCCTGGCCGACGTGCTTCCTGTCTTGTCCGAGCCACCAGCAGCAGCAGCGGGAGTAGCGGTGGTAGCGCCGAGGCGGAGGTCCGGCCCCGCAGCGACCGGGATGGGGACTGGGGACGCGTCGTGGGCCGCAGCGGGCGCAGCAGCGGGCGCGCCGAGGTGGAAACTCGGCCACACGGCGACAAAATGCTCCAGAACAAAGTATCAAGTAACTATGTGGCAGAATTGGCCACTAGGCGGAACCTGACCAGGTTGCCAGGAATACGCTTTTTGTACTCTGAGCTTGTGCAAGGCATCCCACCCATACTTCCTCACTTGGTGGAAAGGGTACCTTCTATCCTTTCAGTTCTTGTGATTATCTCAATAAAGTACTTACCGATCAGCAAAACAGAAACAAGCGAGCGGTTTGTCTTCCGATATGTGGAGCCAAGAGATTACAGGGTATTCCGATGTGTGGTGCGCTATGGATACAATGATAAAGTAGAAGATCCAAGAGAATTTGAGGGCTTACTTATTGAACATTTGAAACAATTTATCCATCAAGAATCATTTTACATCCAAGGTGGAGATCATTCGGTAGAAGAAGTAGAAGATGCAATTGAGCCTTCTGACAGTGTTCGAGGGGCAACATCCTCCATCTGACAGTGTTCGACGACAAGAAGGGGTTCTCTGCTGCTCCATCAAATGGATGCATCTATGAGATCCAAACAATACAGAGAGAGATGGAGGATGGTGTTGTCCATATGCTAGGAGAAGCTAATGTGGTGGCAGAACTGAATGCAGATTTATTTAAGAAGATAATAGTTGACTATGCTTACAATTTCATGAGGAAGAACTTCAGGCAACCAGAGAAGATAACATGTGTCCCTCATAACAGACTGCTACGGGTTGGAATGACATATGAGATCTAGAGCGATGCTGAACTTTATGCAACATAGCAATTTCATCAAAGCAGACAGATGATTAGCTACTTGACAATGGAGTAGGTCTTTTCAGTATGAAGTCAGGAGTTAATGGAAGGGTTCTGTTCAAAGAGGTGGACAAACTAGAGTACATCTAATGGGTGCTTAGAAATATTTCGTTTTAACTTACTCATGCCCATAGTCACATAAAACGGGTTAGAAGGCATCGACCCTAGGCCCGGGTTCGTCGACCCTGACCCGGGTTCGCGGGTTCATCTTCGCCCCAGCAGTGTAAAAATGTCTAGAAAGTAGTGTACCACGTCCCTCGACCCCGTACCACGACCCCATCGACCCAAAAACTTTGTGTGCTCATGCCAAACTAGGTATGAAATACTGTATTGTTCTAAAGACAGCAAATAGTGTTATACTATTACTTCTTTTCCCTCCCAAATAACTCATGGAGGAAGATCCTCACCTAGCAAATTTGTATTATACAATGGTAAAGATCAGCGTCCAGGTAAATAGTTAAGATCGGCATATCAAGGGTAGAATACATGAGGGGAACTTCAGAGCAAGGAAGACAAACACGATGTTATATTGTGTTACTTGTTAGTCCTTAAAAAACATGGTAAAATGGGGCAGTCTACTTGTGCGTTTGAGATATTGTACTATTACCCTGCTATACGGGGTACATATCAGAAAGTAGGCCACATATGTGGAAAACTTGTTTCCAAAGATAGACACAAAGAAAAACACGCATCAATTCTCACCACTGAAGAATCTAGAGGGAGAATTCACCACTGACCACTATAAAGGATATAAATCAGCAAGCGAGAGAGTAACATTCACGAGCACTAATATCTGCCAACAGAAGCAAGCCACCCTCTGATCCTCACAACTCACAACGCAATCGAAGGCAAGCAAGCATTAGCACGGTGGTAAAACAGAGCGTCGAGGCCGGCATTTCGTCAAACAGAACAAGGGGAGCAAAAGAGAGAAGCTAAAAACCGCCGCACCTGAAATTCTGAATCAACGACATCTTACCTTGGCATCCTAGCCCTGGAAGGGCGGTCCACTTGCTCGAGCGATCCGTAGCTGCGTCGACTAGTCGACTGGTACCCGATTGAACACCTCGTCCCTGCGGTCCAGGCGTCCAGCAGAGTGAGAGCCCAACGGATCGTGCCGGAGTGCTGGGACTGGGAGCAGAGGAGAAAAGAAGAACCGGGAGGGAAAAAAAAGGACGGTGGTTGAGAAGAGCTGACCAGTGATCATCGGACATTGGAGGAAGCTACCGAGTGGAGATTACAGGGGATCGGACTTCGGAGTGATCGCCGCCCATTGCTGCGGCCCGTGGACGCGCGACGCGGGGAGAGAGATTTCAAACTCGCGCTCGCCGAAATGCAACCGCGCAGCGGCTCGCGGGCCGCGGGGGAACGGAATGGAGACATTAATATGGGCCTCGGCCAGGAGCGGCCACGTACATGTGGCCCAATAGGGACAGTATCGTTAGGCGTATCCGGCCTCGTAACCAATGCAACATGTGCAACATCCAAATCTACTTTTGCAACATCCGTACGAGACACTTGCAACATACCTCTAAAATATTTGAAACACTTGAAACAGACGCTTGCAACATGCAGTTTCAGAGCAAACATCTCCTTGCTGCTTGGGAGAATGGAGGCTTGTCGGCATGTGGAGTTCACCGGAGACAGCGGCTCGACGGTGGCTGCGCGACAGGGTAGGGAGGCAGCGGCCGCGCGTCGGGGCAGAGAAGCAGCGGCCTTGCACCGCGACTCGTAGCCTGTTGCGCGCCTGGCAGGGGCGGCAACCGCGGCGCCGCATCTCACAGGCAGTTGCGCGCCGAAACCAAAAGAGGGCAGCCGCACACTCCATCCGATAGGGATGAGCAACTAGTGGTCGAGCGGCGCATGCGGGAGCGAAACGGAGCGAAGCATGTGGGAGTTAATTTTGTTTTTAGGCAAGCAGCGCATGCATCAGCGAGTGGAGCGAGACGTCCAGCTTTCCGAACGTCTTAATGGTTGCGTTACCGTTTAATTTTTTTAGAGTAGTCTTTTTTTTACAAATTCACGTATCCGCCATAGACTTTATTGGCTCGGCCTCCTTCATCATCAGTTGGAAACCGTTTTCTAGGAAGCAAACGAAGTCTTCCCGTCCGCCGATGCGCTATGAAACGAGCCGCGCTGCGTCAGGGAGAAACCGGTAGTTTCTTTCCTTCTCTGCCTGGATCTCCTGCTCCACTGCGCTCCCGCGTCCCTCCCCCATCTTGCCACGCGCTCGCGTCCCCTCCTTCCTCGTCCTTCGTGCTGGAGTTGTTTACTGCAAGCTCGACGACAGGAAGGGGTTCGTCGGCGCGACCTGCACAGTCATCACCTCTGGCACTGGCCTCAGCAGCAGCATGTTGTCAAGCGTGACGTCGGTCGTGGGCTCGTGGCCTCGACGAAGCGTGCGCCCTCGTCGGTGAGGAGGATGGCGCGGCGGCCGCGCGCGGTCATCCACGCTGAGCCACTGAGCCGCTTGCCGCTAGTGGATTGGCGCCATCCATAGAATACGTGCACGCATTCGATGGTATAGTTAGTTGCATACAGTCGGTCACGGCGGCTCCAACGCCGCTGAAGACCCAGAGGAACGTGAGGACGAGCTCGCCGAGGACGCCCCGGAAGAAGTCTGGCTCCGACACCTCGTCGGGTGCCTGTGCGTTAAAGGAAACAAAGCAAGCTAGCATCGTCAAAGCACAGGATGGATATCGGAGTTCATCTTGTTGAACACGAGTTGGAGATTAATCTGTGGCCATGTGAGTGCTACTTATATTCTTGCTAGAACTGATCATGTTCTCTTTGTGAAATACGCAGGAGTTCATTAATTCTTTTTTGTCTTAGAAACTACTAATGAAACCATGCATTGGAAGAGTGGAGTCGATCTATAATGCAATTTATTGCTCTTGGAAACTACTCTAGAAGCTGTGCATTGAGATTGCCCTTAGTGGCTAAACTACGCACTGAAATGATTATGTTCATGCATCCGTTAAGTAAACTCCAAGCTGTTGGGGTTTAATTAGCACCTAGCAGCCTAGTCCTTGCACTATCCACGTGACTTACACTAGGAATATTTTTTATCCTTACATTATTCACATGACTTACACTATGAATAGCGTGACACATGAATAGTATAGAAATTAATTAATCCCACATGAATAGTGTAAGCCGTAACCACAACTCAAGTACTATTCCTCGTTAGGCATGCCGCGGTCCTTTTCCAACCGAGTAACTTTCTCGCCCTAGAGAAGGAGAAAACAACAGGTAAACACCAACCTGCTGGCCAGTGACACTGACAACCTCGTCTCCTCCTCCCATCGGCCATCCTGATCCTGCTGCTGCTGCTAATAAATTGCCCCAGCCCCATGACTTCAACACTCACCACCGGCCGCCGGAAAATATCATCTGATCGCTTCTATTCCCAGCCACCCACTTCCAACCGGCACCCAAACATTCCCACGTAGCGTAATCTCCGGCCGCAATAAATACCCTCCCCGGAATTATCTCCGGCGAGGCGGCGACGAGCTGAGCTGAGCAGTGAGCACGACGAACCCCGGACCCCTTCCCCACGCCCGGCCATGGAGGACTGGCTCTTCTACTCCCTCACCACGCTCCTCTGCCTCCTCTGTTCGCTCCTGCTGCGCGCCCGCGCCCCAGGCAACAAGGCCCGCCATGCCGACTCCTCCTCCGCTCTCCCTCCCCTACCCCCGGGCCCGACGCCGCTGCCGGTGCTGGGCCCGCTGCTCTTCCTCGCGCGCCGCGACTTCGACATCGAGCCCGTCCTCCGCCGCATCGCGCGGGAGCACGGAAAGGTCTTCACCTTCGCGCCGCTGGGGCGGGCGCGCCCGGGCATCTTCGTGGCCGACCGCGCCGCGGCGCACCGCGCGCTCGTGCAGCGCGGCGCCGCGTTCGCCTCCCGCCCGCCCTCCACGGGCTCCAGCGCCGTGCTCACCAGCGGCGGCCGCAACGTCAGCTCCTCCCCCTACGGCGCCACGTGGCGCGCGCTGCGACGGAACCTCGCCTCCGGGGTGCTCAACCCGGCGCGGCTCCGGGCCTTCTCCCCCGCGCGCCGGTGGGTGCTCGGCGTCCTCGCCGCCCGCGTCCGCGCCGACGGCCGACACGGGGAGACCCCCGTCGCCGTCATGGAGCCGTTCCAGTACGCCATGTTCTGCCTCCTCGTCTACATGTGCTTCGGCGGCGACCGCCTCGGGGACGACGCGATCGTCCGGGACATCGAGGCCACGCAGCGGGAGCTCCTCGCCAACTTCCTCAGCTTCCAGGTCTTCTCCTTCCTCCCGTCGGTCACCAAGCTCGTGTTCCGGCGACGCTGGGAGAAGCTCGTCTCGCTGCGGCGTCGGCAGGAGGAGCTCTTCGTCCCGCTGATACGCGCCAGGCGGGAGGCCGGCGCCGACGGGGACTGCTACGTCGACTCCATGGTGAAGCTGACCATCCCCGAGGACGGCGGGAGGCCGCTGACGGACGGCGAGATCGTGAGCCTCTGCTCCGAGTTCCTCAGCGCCGGCACCGACACCACGGCCACCGCGCTGCAGTGGATTCTGGCGAACCTGGTCAAGAACCCGTCGATGCAGGACAGGCTTCGGGACGAGGTGTCCAGCGTCGTCGGCGGCGCCGACGGCGAGGTGCGGGAGGAGGACCTGCAGGCGATGCCGTACCTCAAGGCCGTGGTGCTGGAGGCGCTCCGGCGCCACCCGCCGGGCCACTACGTGCTCCCGCACGCCGTGCACGAGGACACGACGCTGGACGGGTACCGCGTGCCCGCCGGCGCGCCCGTGAACTTCGCGGTGGGGGACATCGGGATGGACGAGGAGGTGTGGAAGGCCCCCGCCGAGTTCCGGCCGGAGCGGTTCCTGCCCGGCGGCGAGGGGGAGGACGTGGACCTCACCGGCAGCAAGGAGATCAAGATGATGCCGTTCGGCGCCGGCCGCCGGGTCTGCCCCGGCATGGCACTGGCGCTGCTGCACCTCGAGTACTTCGTGGCCAACCTCGTGAGGGAGTTCGAGTGGCGCGAGGCCTACGGCGAGGAGGTGGACCTCACCGAGAAGCTTGAGTTCACCGTCGTCATGAAGCGGCCGCTCAGGGCCAGGGCAGTGCCCCGGCGGTCACCGCCGCCCGCCGTCGCAGCTGCTTGATCGAGGGTTGTCTCCTCTCTAGCTAGTACGTACGTAGCATCATGGCAACGAATTGGCAGTAGAGTCTGCTTCTCGTTGCACGGTTGATGTATTTATATAACCAAATACAGTATTAGGTACGAGTAATCAAATTTCTCTTGTTCTTTTGGGCGCTTTGGTACAGGCAGTAGTAAGGTAATGGCGTAATGCTGCAGCTGCACTAGTGTGCTTGTGTGTACATATACAATAATAAGTACAGTAAACATTTTAATTACTCTTACTCCATTGAATTACAAAAATGATAAGGTATCTAGACCATTTGTATTTGTCCCCATCCCCAGCGTTTAGCAGTTGCGATGCGAGGTCTCCATCGAGCATCGATGGCGACAATTGCCCTCTGAAGGACGATCGCGAGGCAGCGATCCAGGTTGCTGTTTCTAGAGCTGGGCGATGCAAACACGAAGATGGCGTTTGGTTCAATGTTCTGCAACATAATCTGATTACAGACCAGTACAAATCCTATTACGCCCAAAATTTTTCCGGGATCGAATCCCACACTCTTTTGACTACAGCGTTTTCTGATTACGTTTGCATTTCCATTTACATTTCCCAACCAAACACCTTGGAAGCTTTTTCATCTTCAGGCGTGTCACCGTAGCAGAAAAAACTGCATTCACTCATTAACTGTTGACTGACGGTCACGCTGATGTCGACAACGAGCAAATGGCCGAGGCTCTGTTCGCACACGACAGTCTACAACCAATTGCTTGGAACGTTAGCGCCGCGTTCAGCTTCTGTTCGGTTCGATCACATTGGTCTGCCGGAGCTCTTGGGCTTTGATGCTTGCTTCACGGAAGAAGAGATTTGGGCCGTTGTGCCCAGATGAGAAGGCGCCACGGCCCGATGGATTCACCGGCCTCTTCTACAAATCGGCCTGGGAAGTCATGAAGCTGGATATAATTGCTGCTTTCAACGCATTCTGGTCCTTGGACGGCCGTAGTTTCCATCTAGTAAATGACGCATTTCCGTCAGCTGCAGTCCGTTTTCGTGCGTCCTCGCGTGTGTTGTTCGGATGTCGCTCGACCGCGCCTGCATCATTCATGCCATGTGGGGGCTGTGCCGCCCGCACCCGCATAGGAACCGCTCGTGCCCCCTCCCGCTTCCCACGCCTATCTCATGCAACACTCAATCTAATTTTGAAACATCCAGATGCAACACTCGTAACATAAAAAAAACAAATGAAACATTTGAAACATGCATCTGAAACACGTGAAAAAACACTTGAAAAACATTCCAAACATACACAACATTCAGATAAAACACTTACAACATATATGTGTGAAACATATGTAACATCCAAATAAACACACTTGCAACATACGTCTAGAAAACGGATGAAACATTGGGGGTAGATGCTTGCAACATATGCAACATCCCGATCTACTTTTGCAATTTCCATATAAAACACTTGCAACATACCTCTAAAGTATCTGAAACATTTGAAATGCACGCTTGAACACATGCATTGTATCCTAATGCGGCCTCCTCCACCATTTGCATCGGGGCGTCGTAGCCGTAGCAGGAGGCGAGTCCGGAGGGCTTATACGTCAGGGCCTGACACTTCTCCTTCTTGTTGGCAGCGCTGTTGCGTCGTTAGGCGCCAAAGACGCTGTAAGCGCGCCCTCGAAGGATTGGTGGGCCAGGACGCAGCGTGGTGCTGGCATTGCTCAAGCCGTCGAGCCCGGCGAGCGCAAGAGCAATGGCGAGAGCGGGAGCAATATGAGGTGACCGTCGGCAATGAAGCGAGAGCATAGCAGAGAGAGCATGCACCGACGTGGTGGGGCGCTGCGGCGGCGTAGGGAACGCTGCGATAGCCGATCACGAGATGGAAAATGTCGCTCTGTATTTTTTTTTATTAGTGAAGCAATGAAGGTAGATTTTATGAGAGGCCTGTTGGACTGGTCTCACAGCCTAGGAAGAAGAAGAGTCTGGGATGGGAGGCGTCCGGACGCTCTCACCAGAGTATTTCTGAGGATGAAGTTTGATGCAGATTCTATCAAGGTCAACATGCCTATTAGTTTGATGCATAGTTTTGGCAAAATGATTACATAGTGCCTTGCCTCCAGGCTTGCCCCTTCCTTCCTGGGTTCTTTGTTATGCCGAACCAAACAGTATTCATCCGAGGACGTAGCATACAAGATAATTTCAGAAGAGATATTTACCTATATGGGCTTCAAAAAAATGTGTCTTTCTTCTATGGTCCTATTTTTTGAACATACCTGTATGGTTCAAAAATGAAACTATCTTCCTTCTATGGCCTTCCGTCTAATTCAAGCTGACGGTGTTAAGTGTGAGGTAAAATTACCATTTTTACCCCTAGGCGAAAAGAATAAAGTTTCGGTAGAAAATTTATATATTTTTCATACGATCTCGGATGATGGGAATTTTGACGAGATCTATGACTTTCTAGTTATGAGTATTTTAATTTAAGGTCACTAAGATGCTAAAAAAATAAACAAATTTTGTTTGTTGCCTTGGAAAAAATATATCTTTCTTTATATGGTGTCAAATGGAGATACTTTATATATGAAAGTTGTAGCTCTTGATGAGATCTATAACTTCATAGTTTCACGTATTTTACCTGAGATCATTAAGATGCTCAAAAATAATATAAAGTTTAATTAAGCAGCATATTAACCGCGTACAAGACCTAAAACTACAATTTATGTACTATTATGTGTGACCATATTTGCGCAATATTACTCTAAAACTAAATCAGATAAACTAAACTCTACACTTTATTTTTTGTCAAGGGTAAAATGATCATTTTACCCCACACTTAACACCGTCAGTAGCCTGAATTGGATGAAAGGCCATAGAAGAAAGATATTTTCGTTTTTGGGCTATACAGGTAAATTAAAAAAATAAGACAATGAAAGAAAGACATAATTTTTTGGAAAGCCATACGTGTAAATATCTCATTTCAGAACGGTGCAATTATCGTGCAGGCTGATCAGCAAACTAAACACTCCAAGGGTGCTTCTCAAGGTAGATATAGCAGAGGCGTGTTCGACTCAGGTATCGTGGCCCTTCTTGTTGGAGGTTCTTGATCGAGGCCTGTCTTCTCTCTAGCTAGTACGTACGTAGCATCATGGCAACGAATTGGCAGTAGAGTCTGCTTCTCGTTGCTCGTTTGCGATAAGTAAATACAAGTGGTCTAGATACTTATCTTGAACTAAAAAGATGATAAGTATCTAGACCACTTGTATTTGTCCCCATCGTTTAGCAGTGTTGAAGAAGCGACATCAGGCCACTCTTGTGGGAAGTCTCCATCGACCATCGATGGTGACAAATACCCTACACTACGGCCCACTTCATCCTAGATCAGGTGTTTCATTTCATGAATTTATTTCATGCAATGGTTTTACCTCTCGTCTTTATACTAACTATTAGCTTTGGGAGTGACTGAAACAATAAAGTTCATTTCACGAACCAAATAAAAAGCACGAGTGAAATATATGATACATTACTCTATTGTTCATACTCCCTCTGTCAGGAAAATATCCAACTTTTTTTTGGATAAAAGACTCAAATATTACAAAACATTAAAGCACGATACAACATACTGGGAACTGCTTTTCCAGATTACAAACTTGTATCACCCTAGCAACTAAGACAGAGTCAAAGTTGTGACTGAAACAAAGATGCTTATAAGCCAGGTTACAGAACTGCATCTTCAGACATTGGGTAAAGGCAGTAACCAAATAGTTAGTAACGAGTAATCAAATTTCTCTTGTTCTTTTGGGCGTTTTGGTAGTAAGTAAGGTAATGCTGCAGTAGTGTGCTTGTGTGTACAATATGTAAAATGTTTTACTCCATTGAACTACAAAAATGAAAAGTATCTAGAGCACTTGTATTTGTCCCCAGCGTTTAGCAATTAGCAGTGCTGAAGAAGCGATTAGCGCTTGTGCGAGGTCTCCATCGACCATGCGGCCTTTTCGCTTGGTCGTAAACGATCGTAAATTTTCAGTCAGAACAGCATTTTTCTCTCACACCAAATCAGCCAGCAGTAATAATCCACGATCGTATACGATCGTTTCAGCCCCAGCCGAACAGGCTGCATCGATGGTGACAAATACCCTACAGTACATCTACATCCCACTTCATCCCAGAACAGGCGTTCCATTTCATGAATTTTGATGCGATGGTGTTACCTTTCGTGTTTATACTAACTATTAGCGGCGGAGTGACACTGAATCAAAGTTCATTATTTTACGAACCAAATAAAAAAATCTGAAGTGAAATAAACGATACTTTACTCTATTGCGCCTATTGCACATATAGTGACCTACTCTTTGAGGAAAAGATGCAACTTTTCTTTCTATTAAAACCTCTACGATATTTCCTTTACTTATACTTTAAAAAAATATTAGAAAGTAATACCTTGAATAAATTTGAGCCATGATTTTTTTAGTTTTTTTAAATTAGTTTACTAACTAATTAATTAACCTATACGAAAAAGAAATTTCAAACCCCCTCGTCACGTCAGGGGAGAGAAAAACGTGCGTCCACTTCCTTCTTCGTGAGCACGGCGGCTCCCTTTCTTTTCCGCGACTACCCTTTCCCTTTTTCATATTTATTATCTGTTTTGGGCTGAACTAATTTTATAGAATATTCATTTTGGGTATATTTTATAATATTTTTGTCTAAAGCGTGATGATATTTTTATCTAAAAATAATAAGAAATTCTTATGATACTCAATCATGTTTAAGTTGTACTACGGCAGTTATTTTCCTGGGTTTTTAACGGTACACTCTCCTGGTTAAGCGCTAGCTAGCTAGCTGCACATACATGAACAGCACTGGATCGACAGACAGGAGTCGGTTGTCCAGACCGACATGCATGCTGCATCGTCATCATCGACTCATCGTGTCTTCGTGGCAAGTCAGTCGGATTCAACCTTTGTCTATTTGCGAGACCCGGGAGACCACGTAGCCAGGCCTGTGAGCATGGACCAGGG